GCAGTCGCTGGAGAAGGATATCATGTTTGGTAAGGTGAAGGGTCAGAGAAAAAGAGGAAGACCCTCAGTGAAATGGATTAGCAAAGTGGCAACATCAATGGGCTCAAGCAGGGCAACAATTGTGAGGTTGGCCCAGGATCAGGCAGTGTTTCGTTCTGTTGTGCATAGGGTCGTTATGAGTCGGTCCTGACAAGATGGCACCAAACAATAACAACATATCTGACAATATTCCACTGCTATTCATAAGGTTTTCAAACGGTTTGACTAAATATTTGGAAGTAGTTTGTCTCTCCTTCTTTCTAGTCTGTCTTCATCTGGAAGCTCATCTGAAACCTGTCCACCATGGGTGACTGCTGGTGTTTAAAATACCAGCGGCATAGCTTCCAGAATCACAGCAACACACAAGCCACACAGTATGACAAACTAGTAGATGAAGGTAGATACTGACTAATAGTGACCCTATGTAGGGTTTCTGAGATTGTAAATCTTAACAGAAGCAGACAGCCTCCTTATTTTCCCTTGGTGTGACTGGTGGGTTTGGACTGCCCCATGGCAATTAACATCCCAATACCTAACCCATAGTGCAAGCAGGGCACCTTATAAAACGTCTTCAAGTAACAGAACTACTTCATGAAATAGATCATTCATTTTCAATTTATTATATGACTGGATAAACCTAAATTTAACTATGACTCACATTTATAAATCACAGTATCGTATCAACAGCTCACATTTATGGATGCTAATTCTACTGAGTGCTTCATCTGTGTTATTGTCCTTTATTCTTGCATTCACTCTTCCTACCTGCTACTAATTTGCAAGTCAGGAAACTGAGACTCAAATACGTTGTTTGCCCAAGGATACTAAGAGTCATTGAAGAAGCCAAGGTCTTTCTGACTTCTAAGCATACTGTGTAACCACTACATTATTGCTTCTAGACAAAATAAATTAAAATGTCCAGCAGCATAAATTCTAATTCTGGTGTTAGTACTGGATTTTGAAAATACCAACGACCATGATAAAGCAATAACTTGTGTTCACAGATGTGACAGTATAAAAGCCTTTGGAAAATATGATCTAAGCATCAAACAAAAGATTCTTTACCTGCTGCTGAACCTTTATCTTAAAAATTCTTTATCTAATGTTGAGCAATGTTCACAGATCTGGTAGCTTATTGATACATAAAACATTTTCCTGCATTCAGAAAAATGATTACCTAATAATTTGAATTCATATTCTGATATTGTTTTATAAACACCAGTAAATCTGATGCAATAATTAGAGAGAAACATATTGCTTAGCTCCAGTGATTTTTCCCCCCCCTTCTTATCTTTTGTCCCAGGTTTTACACTCAGAAACTTGTTTTCAAAGATTGATTCCAGACCGCCCTCTCTTTTAGCGATAACACAGCCTCTCTCGAATTTCAATTCTCTTTCCTCTGAAGGATTGTAGAATCTGGCAAACTTCCTGGGCCAATTTATTTGTGGTTAAAAAAAAAAAGTGAGAATTACTGAGGGGTGAAGCCACAATGTGATGCTGTGCAGAGCTGGGGTTGTCTATCGGCAGCCACAGGACAGGTAGGAAGTGATGAGCTAGAAATGATAGGCTAGGTTGTGGGAGAAATGTGGGAGAAGTAAAATCTAGATGCACTGATGCATCTTGGCTCAGGATCTTGGTTCAGGGCTACTATGGCGCCTGTGTTTCTGACTCTGAATTTCCATGCCTGTTTATTCTGTGCATCTCCCCATCCCACCCACCTCTCTGTCCAACCATATACACATCCCCACACCCAGCCACATTCAGCCTGCTAGCTGATACTGTGCTTACAATTTAGCAGCTGGTTAACACGGGGTCACACCCCAGAGTTTCCAGGTGTCAGGTGTTTGAATCCAGCTCTGCCAGTTATTTGCAGTGCACTTGTGTCTTCAATAATTCATGCCACCTCCTGATGACTCATTGTATTTCATCTATAAACTGTAAGAGCATCCACCTGAAAGAGTTTTGTCATTGTTGTTGTTAAGTGCCTTTGAATTGGTTCTGACTCATAGCAACCCTGTATAGGGTTTCTGAGGAGCAGCTGGTGAGCTTGAACTGCTGACCTTGTGGTTCAAACTGACTTTGCAGTTCAGCACATTAACCCGCAGCGCCACACCAGGTCTCCTAAAAGAGCTGTAAGTGCAGTTAAAGAAGAACGTGGCAGGGAAAGAAGAAGAGAGTTTAGGGCAGTCTCTGAAACATAGGGCCACCTGTCAGTTGAATCTGATGTCTGGTGACCCTATGTGTGTCAGAGTAAAGCTGGGTTTTCAGTGACTGATTTTTCAGAACTAGATGGACAAGCCTCTCTTCCAAGGCTTCTGTAGACAGACTTGAACCTCTTGATTAGCAGCTGAGCACATGGACCATTTGTTAATATCCAGGACCTTTGAAGCATAGCAAGGGCTCAAAACATTGTTGTTATTCATGAAGAGGAAACAGAGAAGGGATTGAAGGGGCAATGCCCATGAGAAAAAGCAACGGAGACAAGCAGATGTGGGAGAAAGGTGGTTTATGGAACTTCAGCATCATTACCTGCAGTCCCCTTTTCACCTTTCTCTCCTTTCCTGCCGTCTCTACCATCTCTTCCTGGAAGGCCGATCCGACCGTGGGGCCCAGGGGAACCATTTGCTCCAGGGGGGCCTGGAGGTCCAGGTAAGCCAGGGATGCTACAGATATATCTTGGGGAGGAGTTCTCTCCTTTGAACTGATTGCCCCGAGGTTGTCCGCTTGCACAAATGGCAAAACTTGTAACATAGAGCAAGATAAACATCGTTGGCTCTGGAAGAGAAACACAGGGACATCAGTGTACCTTTGCAGGTGGCGTTTGGGTCAGGTTGATTATGTGCGAACTGGAGAATGCGCAATGGCGACAATTCACTTCAATGCTTGCTTTTGTACACAATGATAAAGCCCTGTTTATTCTCCTGATTTCCATGGAAACAATGACACATGGATGATAGACTGCTCAGTGCTCTACACAGGGGTTGGTGGAAATGAGAATTGATTTTTAAAAATTACAAATTAAAGGATTATGTTGCATCTCTTCTATGGGAATCCATGATGGAATGGAAAACTAATGTTTTATTTCTGCAAAAGTGATGTGTTTTTTTTTTTTTTTAAAGAAAATTAGAGATGCAAATGAATGTTATAAAGATTAATGGTAGTTCTACCATCCCAAGATAATTATTCTTCCTGTTTTGATGTATATAATTTCTACTCTTTTTTCTACACTATGGATAAAAGTGGTATCATGTCATGTTTATAATTCTTAAATTATTTTACTTAACAATATATCATAACATCTCTCTAACATAAAAACTATTCATAACATTAAACAGTATTGCATTTGGTTCTACCGTTCTTTGTGTATACAAAGTCCCAGAATAGATATTTAAGTTGTTACCAGTTTTATGCTTTATAAAAACCATGCTGTTGTTGTTAGGTGTTGTTGAGCTGGTTCCCACTTACAGCAACCTTATGTACAGCAGAACAAGACACCTCCAGGCCAGCATCATCCTCACAATTCTTGCTATATTTGAGTCCACTGTTGCTGCCACTGTGTATGCCCATGTTGTTGGGGGGTCTTCCTCTTTTTCTCAGACCTTCTACTTTACCAAGCATGCTGAACTTCTGCAGGGAATGGGCCCCTCTTGAGAGCGTTTCCAAAGTATGTGAGATGAAGTCTCACCATTCTCACTTTTACAGAGCATTCTGGTGGTGTTTCTTTCAAGACAGATTTATTTGTTCTTCTGGAAGCTCATTGTATATTTAACCACCGTGCTGTTGTTTTATATGCCATAGAGTCAGTTCTGACTCATAGCAATCCTATATAGGATTTCTGATGCTATACATCTTTTTTTAAAGCTTTTATTGTGCATTGAGTGATAGTTTACATGTGAGAACATCAGTTTTGCACTCATCTTATCGTATTTCGTATCATTGCAATGATTACAATCCCCTCCATGCATCACCATTCAACAGTATTTGCTTCTATTCCTCTTTTTTTTTTTTTAATACACAAAAACTCTTAGGAATACATATCATTTAAACAATCTAAGGACACATTCTGCAAGCCTGCTTACTGGCCACCAGCACACAGCCTTTCTCTTTCCATGAATCTAGAGTCCTCAGCTGATCTATCTCTCCACGTCCTCATCTCTGGTGTTGCTGCTTCTCTGGATAGGGTTCTACAGTCCACTCGTGCTCTTCTCCCTTGATGGTCCTAGGGTCCTCTGTTTCTGGACTGTAAGATTAACTACTTCCCCTTTATGTTACAAAACTTCTACCTTTACAGTTGTGACAATCACAATTAGTCATAGTAACAATTACTCATTACTGAATCATAAGAATCTTATCCCCTTCTCCTTTCACCAGACCCATCTAAACAAGATGAAAACTATCTAGTGGGGATTCTACTTCCCTTGCCCTCCGAAACAAAACTTCCTCTTGAAAACTTGTAAGCCAGCCACTTCATGCCTTAATAGGCACCTCCCCCCACTTTTTAGGTAGTCAATGTCTAAGTTGCCTGTCCCCATCAACCTTGTGTACAGAGGGGATATGTTTGATCCTTGATATGAAGAGTCCTTCCCTCTTAGTTGGTATTAGGAACTATTATATCCATAAGTATAGGTCAAGTTCATTAAATTGTAGCCATTTACACTTGTTTCTTTGATCAAATTTCTTTATCTTCCTCTATTTGAGTTCTGATCATCAAGCCATCAAAGCTAGGTCAAATGGGTACTATCTGCAAGTTTGGGTGTTCTTGTGCATCTCCCCTCACTTCATGTCAGTTGGACACTTCACTCTTGGCTCTAGCCCTCTGTGGCTAGGTCCTTGTCCATGGACTTAGGAGTCCTCAGATCTTACCACATTTTGGATCAACCAGCCCTTCCTTTTCTCTTTCTCATGTCTAGATCAACAAGAGTCTACAGAACATGGTTGAGCTCAGAGGTTATACATCTTTTCAAGACCAGAAAGCCTCATCTTTCTCCTGAGGAGTGGCTGGTGGGCTTGAACCACCAAACACCAGGCTGCTATTGTTTCTAAGTGTCACTGAATCAAATCCAACTTTTAGCAACCTTATACAGGGTTTCTGAGGAGTGGTTGGTGAGTTTGAACTGCTGACCTTGTGGTTAGCTGTCCAGTGCTGATCTTACAACTCTACATCAGGAGCCCACACATCATGCTTGTTGTTGTTGTTAAGTGCCATCGAGTCAATTCCAATGTATAGTGACCTTGTACAGGGTTTCCAAGGAGGGACTGGTGAGTTTGAACCATGGACCTTGTGGTTCAAACCAACCTTGCAGTCCTGCGCTTATCCTACAGCACCATACCAGAAGTCCAGACCCCCTTATAATGACTGATGATTTCCTTAAAATTTATAGACTTTTCAAAACAGGAACAAGGAAGTGCCATTTTCAGGAAAACCCTGTTTTTCACTTAATAATCATGTGCCATGCCAATTAGTCTTAATTGGTATGTTGCACCAAGTCCTAAGGGGGGGAGGTATCAAGACTTAATTTAAAATCTGCAGGCAATAATATCATGGTGTGCCATGAAGTTGTTAGCATAGGGTCTCAATTAAAGAGCTGAGTGAAACAAAACCATGCATTGCACCACATGCCTCTAGTGAAGCAGGGAGTAGGTCTCTTTACTGGACTCTAATAGCATTGCTTTCCCTCCAAACGCTGTCAGCTGAGAAACAGGGTTCTTTTTTATTAGAAGGACAGCCTAGTGTATAGATTTTGTTTTTAGGCTCACTGTTCCTTAGGATTAATAGATTTTGGGGTGGGAAACACGTAGAAGTGCTTCTGCACCATGAAAATGAGTAATTTTTGGATGGTTGGGCCTGTGCTTTAATTAGAAATCTGTATAATGTGCACTCCCCTGAAGGAAATCATTCAAGTGTGGAAAATATGCGTTAGCTGAAATTGCTTTTTTTTTTTTTTTTTGAGCCACAACAGAAGATGAACTAGCCACATTGGACTGACCCCTTGTGTGGTACCCATGGGGAAATTACAGCATCTTGGATTCAACCCAGAAATTGACCAAAGTCTTGGAATGACATATTGAGAAAATCACAGTATACACATTCAAAAAAAAACGTCCTAGAAATCTTACTAGTGAAGCAACTATTACAAATCTAGTTTCTGTAACCTTGACCAAATCTCAGAGCTGGGAGTTATCCATGAAGAGGAGACTTCAAAAAATTATTTTTTAGTCCAATTTTTCCATAAACTTTTTGATACCCACTGATATTTACATCTGCTAATGAATCAAAAGTTTTGTTTTGTTTTCTTTAAAAAAAAAGAAAATGAAAGCTATTTGGTTGTATAAAAAATTCTCACAACTAGGTCAGCAAGCAACATTATGATAAATAGTTAAAAGATTGAAGTTGCTAAGGATGTCATTCTACTTGGATCTGTAATAAATGTCCATAGAAGCAACAGTCAAGATGTCAGATAATATAGTGTATTGGACACATTTGTTGTAAAAGACCTCTTAATAAAATGTTCAAAAGCAAAGATGTCACTTTGAAGACTAAGGTGCGTCTGACCTAAGTGATGTCTTTTCACTTGCTTCATATGCATGAGAAAGAAGACCAAAGAGGAATTGAAGTACTGGAATTCGAATGTTGGCAAAGAATATTGAATAGACCACAGACTGGCAGAAGAATGGACAATCCATCTTGGAAGAAGTACAGCCAGAATTATCCTTAGATGTGCAGATGGTGAGATTTCATCTTTCCATACTTGGGACATGTTATCAGGAGCCTCTGCAGAAGGACATCATGCTGGGTAAAGTAGAGGGTGGGCGAAAAAGAAGACGGAGACATGGACTGATATAATGGCAATGGTCCCAAGGATCACCACAACTGTGAGGGTGGCACAGGACCAGGTGGCAGTTAATCCTGTCGTAATGTTCTGTTTGCTCTCTTGACTGTTGCATCCAGAGGTGTTCATTTGTGGATCCAAGTAAAACGAAATCCTTGACAATGCCAATCTTTTCTCTGTTTATCATGATGCTGATGATTGGTTCAGTTTGAGAATTTTTGTTTTCTTTATGTTGAGGTGGAATCCATCCTGAAGGGTTTATCTTTCATCTTAATTGGTGTTTCAAGTCCTCTTCATAGTCAGAAAGCAAGGTTGTGTCATCTGCATATTGCAGATTATTAATGAGACTTCTTTCAATCCTGATGCCACATTCTTCTCCATATCATGCAGTTTTTCAGATGATTTGCTCAGTATACAGAGTGATTAAGTGTGGTGCCCTGACATATACTTTTCCTGACTGAAACCACTCAGTATCCTCTTGTTCTGCCTCTAGATCTATATATAGGTTTTTATACGATCACAATTAAGTGTTCTGAAAATCCTATCCTTTGCAATGCTATTCATAATTTGTTATGATCCACACATTCAAATACCTTTGCATGATTAATAAAACATAGGTAAACATCTTTTTAGTATTCTCTGCTATTAGTTAAGATCTATCTGATGTCAGCAATGATATCCCTCATGTAAGACAGCATCAATCCCAAATTACTGATGCTATTGCTCAATTGGGATTAGGACATTTTCTGACAAATTCAGCAGATCTGGTTAAGACACCCATCCTTTCAAAGGACCCTCACCTAACAGAAAATGGAAAGGATACCATATCCCCACCCCATGTTGATGTTGTTGTTAAGTGCCATCGAGTTAGTTCCAACTCACTGAAACCTTGTATAGGGTTTCCAAGGAAGGACTAGTGGGTTTGAACCACCAACTTTGTGGTTAACAATCTAGTGCTTATCCAACAGCATCACACCGGGACTCCATCTACATCTCTAGCACAGTTAAAACAAGATACAATGGTGAAATATCTGGTTAAAAATTAGGAAAGTTGGGTGACACGATTGTACTCTCTCACCATACTTATGCAACGTGTATTCTGAGCAAATAATCCAAGAAGCTGGATTATATGAAGAAGAATGTGACATCAGGATTGGAGGAAGATTCATTAACAACCCGTGATATGCAGATGATACAACCTTGCTTGCTGACAGTGAAGAGGACTTAAAATAGATACTGATGAAGATCCAAGACCACAGCCTTCAGTATGGCTTGCATCTCAGAGTAAAAAAGAGCAAAAATCCTCCCCACTGGAGCAATAATAACATCATGATAAATGGAGAAAAGATTGAAGTTCCCAAAGTCTTCATTTTATTTGGATCCACTATCAACACTCATGGAAGCTGCAGTCAAGAAATCAAGCAATCTATTGCAAATCTGCTGCACAGACCTCTTTAAAGTGTTCAAGAGCAAAGATGTCAGTTTGAGGACTAAGGTTTGCCTGATCCAAGCCATGGTATTTTCAATAGCTTCATATGCATGTGAAAGTTGAACAGTGAATACGATTTGAAGCATTTGAGTTGCGGTGTTGGAAGAGAATATTAAAAGTACTATGGACTGCCAAAAGGGCAAGCAAATTGTGTTGGAAGATATATATCCAGAATATGCCTTAGAAATCAGGATGGCGAGACTGTCTCTCATACTTTTGATACATTATCAGGAGGGACCAGTCACTGGAGAAATGCATCATGCGTGGTAAAATGGAGGGTCAGAGAAAAAGAGGAAGACCCTCCATAGAGATGGGATGGCACAGTGACAACAGCAATGAGGTCAAGCTTAGCAAAGATTTTGAAGATGACACAAGACTAAGCAGTGTTTTCTTCTGTTGTGCACAAGGTCACTATGAACAGGAAATGACTGGATGGTACCTAATAACAATTCTCTTTTGAAAGGCTGACTAGAGAAGGCTTTGAGAAGGGGTTTGAAAGAGAGTAAGCTTTTTGAAAATGCTTCTAAGGAGGTTTTAAACCAAGACAGAATGAGATGTTGTAGGTTGAGGCCAGGAGCCTGTTCTAAAGAGGGAGCTAACATAATCTGGATAGAAGGTGCTTTGGGCAGGGCATCTCTTAGACGCACGATGTGGGATGGGCAGAAAGCAGACATGCTCCAATAACTATGGGGACAGTCTGTAAAGAAAAATGTGCTAAGGGCCTAGTTGGTGCTGGCAAGAGAAAGCAGACATTTTAAAGATATGCTTAGAAGGAAGGATTTAATAGTCAGGTCAAAATGTCCTCAAAGAAGGAATAAATGGAAAGAGCTGAAACAAGTCAGATTCATTCCCTGATCAAACTGATGACCTATCTTTAGTAAATGCGTTAAAATGCAGTCTGTACAGGGGGCGGAATGCTAGAGGAACCTCCAATTAGAATGTGTTGACATTTTTTTTTAACCCTCGTCAATCCTCATAGGAATTGAGGAGCAATATAGTGCCTGGTGCACATTGATGGATCAGCGGCAGAGAGTAGGGTTCTGGGACTTAGCTCACGCAGGATGAGAGCATGGCATGCCTGGTCTCTTTCACAGTATTTCAGAAATACAACTCAATGATTTGAGGTCTCATTTGGCATGATTTAGAGTGCCCAAAGCACCTTCTATTCAGATTATGAAGAGCAGAGATGTCAGCTTGAGGACTAGGGTGCGCCTGACCCAGGCCATTGTGTTTTCAATAGCCTCATATGGGTGCGAAAGCTGGACAGTGAATAAGGAGGATCGTAGAAGAATTGATGCCTTTGAGTTGTGGTGTTGGAGGAGAATACTGAAAGTGCCATGGACTGCCAAAAGAACCAACAGATCTGTTTTGGAAGAAGTGCAGCCAGAGTGCTCCTTGGAGGCCAGGATGGCTAAACTTCGTCTCTCCTACTTTGGACATATTGTCTGGAGGAAACAATCATTGGAGAAGGATGTCATGCTGGGTAGGGTGGAGGGTCAGAGAAAAAAAGGAAAACCCCCAACGAGATGGATCAGCCAGGTGGCATCATTGATGGACTCAAGTGTGGCAGCGGTAGTGAGGTTGGCCCAGGATCGAACATTGTTTCGTTCTGCTGTGCATGGGGTCGCTATGAGTCAGTTCTGACTCGATGGCACCTGGCAACAGAGTGCTTTCTGGAACCCTGATGTGGCACTGTGGGTTAATGAGCTGGACTACAAAGTTGGTTTGAATCACAATGTCAGCAATTCAAGCTCACCAGTCGCTCCTCAGACACTCTACACAGGGTCACTATGGGTCAGAGCTGACTCGACATCACTTAACAACAACAACAACAACAAAGTGTTTTCTGGTGTGGTGCTGTAAGATACATACTGGATTGCTAACCACAAGGTTAGCAGATCAAACCAACTGTTTTGAACAATATTATACAGGGTCACTATGAGTCAGAACCAATTCAATGGCATTTAACAGCAACAAACAAAGAATACTATTGGTTAATATCAATATTATTCAATTTATACACCAACCACTAAAGCCAGTGGTGATGGCATTGAAGAATTCTACCAACTTTTTCTGCCTGGAATTAATCAATTATGCTATCAATATGCATTGATAATTACTGGTGATTGGAATCAGAATTTTTTGAAATCATGATTTCACAGATTTGAGGTCTCTCTCTATTTTTTCCATCTCCCTCCCTGAGTTGAGGTCTATTTTATTGTGTTTCTAATATATCCCCCAACTAAAAATAAAAAAAAAAACGTATCTGTCCATTTTTTCTTTACGTTCTTTTCTTCTTTCCACTTTGAAAATTTTTTCTGACAAAGAGTATGAGGTAGGTAAGGATCAAACTTTATATCTGCTATTCCTTGTATTGGACAAGCCATCTTTTGCCTCCTGTCCACTGCTTTGCAATGAAGTTGGTTATTTTGACTGGGTCAGGAGTTTATAAACATCTTTCCTTAGTTTGCTTGGATTATCAATGACACAGTATAAAATCAATCCATTTAAGAATTGATTCATTTAAAGTACACAATTCAATGTTAGCCACAATCTAATTTCAGAACATTTTCCTTACGCCAGTAAGAAACGCTGTATCTATTAGTGGTTGCTCCTTAGACAAGATGTTTCAAAACATTGGACTGAATTATGCAACTCTATTGTGGTCTGTGTGCTAACGTGTATTTTTCCCACATTGTGCTTCTTTAGAAGGAGAAAATTAAAACTCTGGAAATATTATGACTCTTGAACAAATCTGCCCTGAACACTAAATGATCTACTATATGGATTTCTGTGCAAGCTTTACAAAATAAGGGGTTTTCTGTCTTTAAAGTACTTTAAAATACTTGATTTGTATTACTGTAGATTTCTAAGCCTACACGTTACTTTGTATTTTGACTATTTGAGCCAGGAATGTGGTATCCAGCTCTTTGTAATTTTTTGAATTCGTATACCCTTTTGTTCTTGCTAAACTAGCTTTGGAAACCACTTGGAGAAAGACTGATTACATCCGTTTAAAGATCAATGTCTAGGAAGTAGTTCAGAGGTTAAGAATCCCTTTGTAAATAGGATTGTTGTTGATGGTAAGTGCAATCGAGTCATTTTCAACTCATAGGGTTTCCCCGAAGTGGCTGGTGAGCTTGAACTGATGACCTTGCAGTTCAAACCGAACTTGCAGTCCAGCGCATTAACCCACAACACCACAATATTTAAAAAAGACAGTTGAGATGGAGACCACATAGTAGGATTGTTACTACTATGCTAGATGTCTTAAAGGCACCGTTTACTTCATTTCCATCGTGTTTATGATGTTATTACCTTCACTTCACAAATAATAAAATGTAGTCCCGATTACTCAAGTCTACACAATCCTAAAATGGCACAGCCAAGATTTGAACCACATTCTTGTTGGGTCCAAACTTTTGTGTTTTCAGCTACATCATGTGAAGGAAACTGTGACCTAGTATTTCATGACAAAGGGCTGGACCTGATTGTTAACTCAAGTTGGAAATGGGCTTTGCCTGGAAATCATTAGGAAGAGGATAGGTAAGTAGGGGCGGCCAAACCAAGACATATCCTTGGCCTGCAGACGCAGAGATTTCACAACAGCAGGCTTTGTGTCATCCTAGCTACATTTAGAGTGGCTCTGTGAGCAAGACAGGGTGGGGAATTTAGATACGTGTCCACGCCCCAGTTCCTTCTGTGATGTGGTTCCTCAGCCTTTGTCTTTGTGGTCCCCACTGCCCCTTAATTTTCCAATTGCTTGTGCCATGGATTACCTTCCCTTCTCCTCTCACCTCGTCATCCTGTAAGATCACACAATTCCATTATGTTTGCTGTTTATTAACAATCTGTTTCCCTTTCTGTTTCCTCCAGCAAAGTGTGAACTTTATCACTGACATCTAGGACTGAGCTGATTTTGAGTAGTGCCACAAAGGTTGGAAAAAAAAATATTTAGAAATGCTTCTTATTATCAAGAGTTCATGATTGATAAAGCTTTGGCTTTTTAATGGGAACTGCTATGTTGGCACAAGAGTCATACACACTGACATCTCATTTACAGAGCAATCCTTCCTTTGTGTCATCGTCCCAAAGACTCTTTTGTGGTAGATTGGACAGATGACGATGGTTTAGAGAAGTTAGGGAACTTGACCCTGGTCACAAATCTAGCATCAGACTAGAAATTTGAATCCAGGTCTCCAGTTTCCTAGATTCTTCCTACAGGACTCTCTATTGAATAAACCCAACAAATACAGTCATGAGAACTGGTCAGTACATCTACATTTGACAAAATGCTAAAAAAGAATGAGCACCATACCTTGTCTGAGCTGATAGGTTCCTGCAGGGCTCTAAATCCACAAGAGTCTGAGTATCTTTTCATGAGAACCCAGAGAAAAACTGGTTTTGGTACCAGACAAAACAAGAGATCTGACTTCTCAGAGATTTCCAAATAGTTGTGCTAAAAATAATTTTCACCTTTAGTCCCAAAGAGCCAGAGGCCCTGGAAATCATTCATTGGGTGATGCTCAACTCTGGGGCCTGTTAAAATTGTGATTGTGTTTGGGATAAAGATTTAGTGTCTGTTTTCCTTGATGGGATTTAGACTTTCCTCCGTCTCCGCGTGTTGTGGTTTCTCTTTCAAATTTACTTACTTTTCCCTTTGTTTTCCACTGAGTAAAGTTTCCAAGGGAGGAGGGAGGAGCACAAATTGCCAGCTGGAAATTCATTGTTAACTTAGAGAAAAAAGTCATTTCTTAGTCTGGACATATGGGAATGCTTCAAAGAATAACAAGAAGAGGTGCTCCTCTTCTTGACGATTATGGCAAGAAAATGACTCCTCATTCTATGTACTGCAAAAACAAAGTGCATGAGTACGCCGGCGTTTTGTTTTTCCTCCTCTGAGTGGATAAAGGATTGGGTATTTTTAGAAGCCTAAAATGTGTTTGTTCCTTTAGATACCAAATCATAACAATTCAAAAGGCAGATTCGTTCCCCAAAACCTACGACTTGTCTTCTTCGTCGCAATCAATTTCCTTGTTTGTCTCTGATAAGTATTTCTAACATCTCCTTAGCAACGGCAATATATAATTCATGGCATTTTCTAGGGAAATTAAGCAACTGGACAATCTTGTTTTTATCATGTTTTCCAACCCATGCTTCTCGAGCAATTGAGAACACTAATGGAAAGAACTGATTCCAAGTTTGAGACATGTACAATGGCCACCAAGTTGACCAAGAAGATTGGCAAGCTTCCCATTCCAATATGTTTTATTTTGCTTTAATGATCTACCTTCCTTATCATCCATTTGCCTGTGTGTTACACTGTGGTGACATTTGTATTGTTGCAATGCTGAAAGTTATACTGCTGGTAAATTAAATATCATCAAGATCACCTGTGGTGGACAGGATTCAGTAGAGCTTCTAGATTAGGACAGATTAAGAAGAAAATGGTGAATTACTTCAGAAAATTAGTCCACGAAATCTCTATGGATTGCAACAGAATATTGTCCACTAGAGGGATAGAAGATGAGCCTCCTAGGTTGGAAGACATTCAAAATATGCAGTGGCAGCCACAATGGTCTTTACCATACTTACGATAATGGACATGGCGTGGCACTGGGGAATGTTTTGGGGGGTTGTCCCCATGAGTTGCAGTTGGCTTGATGACAACTAGTAACAACAATATCTACCCTTCAATCTAGAAAAAATGGTCTTTTGATTTTGTGGGCTGTCAATATTTGAATGGTATTCTTGTTAAGTTCCGTCCAGTTGGTTCCAACTCATAGTGACCCTGTGTAGGGTATCCAAGGAGCAGCTGGTGGGTTTGAACCACCAACCTGTGGCTCAAACTGACATTGCAGTCCAGTGCACTATCCTTCAGCGCCACACCAGGACTCTGAATGGTATCATGGATGGTGGAAACAATGCCTTAGTGTAGAAGCTGGGCACACTTTTTTTTTTTTTTTTTTTCCCTTCCTAACTCAGAGAAGGACTTTAATGATCTAGAGTCCCAGGGTTTGTCTTTTCATCCTCAAAATTAAATGGTTGTCCTTGGTTATTTCTAAGGTGGATCATTGTTCTTAATACTCTAATAAAGTGCTTGTGACTCATATGGTGCAATAAAAAAGAAAAGAAGCCTACCACTTCCACAGATATAAGCAGAGGTACATGTGGCATTGGAGCCGACATTCATTCTTAATGAAAGATGCCCCTCAAGTGGCTCCTTGAGTGCTGAGCATAGAAGCTGGCCCTTAATAGTGGCTGGATTCAGCATGGTCTTCCTTTCAGGGAACTTTTGCTGGAGATGGGTTGAGATTATTTGCATAGAACATCCAGAACCTTTTTGAAATGATGGAACTAAATGCCCAACTTCTTCTCTCCATGTTGCAAACATAGGAAAACTTGTGTTGGACTACAGGGGTAACCAGGTCCAAAGTCTACCATTAAGAAAAGACTGTAGACCACAGAGTGGAATTTACCAGGAGGAAAGCAGGAATGGAGGGAAGTGGTGGCCCAGGGGTAGAGTCCTCACCTCCCAAGTGGGAGATCTGGGTTTGAACCTCACACACAGCTAGTACTTATCTGGCAGTGGAGACCTTTGTATTACTGTAATGCTGAGTAATTAATCAGCAAAGCTTCCAGACTAGGAAAAGGCCTGATGACCTATCTCTAATACTCAGGCAACCACAATTGACCTATGGGATAGCCTGGAATTGGAGCATTACATTCCACTGTGCATTGGTTCTTCCTGGGTTCAGAGCTGACTCAGTGACAGCTAACAAATGAGAATGTGGGTGAAAATCCCTGAAGTCTTTGGAATGGTTGGTTCTAGAACCGTATATGAATGAGGTTAAAAGTTTGTCTGCCGTAACAGATATTCCATGGGGGAACAAAGCTTGGACCCACAAGGGAGAATTAAAAGATCATTGTATGGGAGCCCAGTAAGAGGGAAACACAAGAATCAACATTGTTGGTGGCGTTAAGTGCCGCTGAATGGGTTCTGACTTCATAGCGACCCTGTATAGGGTTTCCAAGGAGCGGCTGGTGGATTTGAACCACCAACCTTGCTGTTAGTAGTCGAGTGCTTATCCTACAGCACCACACCAGGAGTCCAAACGGATAAGCACCTACTGGACTGTGTACAACTCATGGTCAACAGTAGAACCATATTGTTGTTGTTGTTGTTAAGTGCCGTCGAGTCGGATCCGACCCATAGCGACCCTGTACAGGGTTTCCGAGGCTGTAAATCTTTACGGGAGAAGAATGCCTCATCTTTCTCCCGCGGAGCGGCTGGTAGTTTCGAACTGCTGGCCTTAAGGTTCGCAGCCCGATTCATAACCACTACGCTACCAGAGCTCCTTGTAGAACCATGTGGTGGTAGCAAAAACATCAGGACGAGTGGACCAAATCAACCAAATCCACTGCTGTCTGGTCAATTCTGACTCATTGACACCTCATAGGACAGACTAGAACTGACCCATAGGGGTTCCAAGGCTGTAATCATCACAGAAACAGATAGCCACATCTTTCTTTCATGAAGCAGTTGACAAATTCGAACAGTCAAGTGCTTAGCCCAGTGCACCAGGGTTCCTTGGTGAGTGGATAAAGCAAAAGTTTTACTTTTCACTTATTACTGCATTTAAGCCAAGCAAGCCCCACAAGATGTTAGATCATGCATGGAAGGAGAGTGTCAATCTTGACTCGTCTACCTACTAATAAATGCAAAAGGAAGAAATGAATCGAAAGCATGCAAATGGCATGACTATACTTGGATTATTTGAACTGGCAAAGAAGGTCAAAGAGGCTACAATAGTTCAAACATATCATCACAGATACCTTTGTCAGACAAATCAAAACCAAACTGTAATTGATTCTGACTCAAGCTGACCCCATGCATTCAGAGTAAAACTCTATTCCATAGGGTTTTTGAGGACCGTGATATTTCAGAATATTAGGTTAGGTTTTTCTTTCAAAGTACTTTTTCTTTCAAACTGACAACTTTGGTTGGCCCAATAGATTCTGACCCATAACAACCGTATGTGTGTCAATCCTTTCTTCGAGGGTGCCTCTGGGTGAAATCAAAACACCTAGAAAAAACATTTGTGCCACCTAGGGAGAAAACAAAAGTCCTCACCACTGGACCAATAAGTAACATATGATAAATAGAGAAAAGACTAAATCTTGTCAAAGACTTCATTTTGCTTGGAACAGCCATCAACATTTATGGAAGCAGCAGTCAAGAATCAAATGACGTATTGCATTAGGCAAATCTGAGGCACGGGGCCTCTTCAAAGTGTTCAAGAGCAAAGATGTCAGTTTGAGGAGTAAGGTGTGTCTGATCCAAGCCGTTGAATACAATAACCTCATACGCATAGGAAATTTGGACAATGAGTAAGGAAGATCATAGAAAAATTGATGCATTTGAGTAATGGTGTTAGAGAAGAATATTAAAGGTAACATGGGCTGCCAGTAGAACAAATAATTCTGTGTTGAATGAAGTACAATCAGAATGTTCCCAGGAAGCCAAAATGGCTAAACTTCATCTCTCATGCTACGGATATAGTATCAGGAAGGACCAGTCCCTGGAGAAGGACATCATGCTTGGTAAAGTGGAGGGACAGTGAAAAAGAGTGAGACCCCCAACAAGATGGATTGACCCAGTGGCAGCAATAGTGGGCTCAAACGTAGCAGTAAATTGTGAGGCTGGTGCAGGACATGGCTGGGTTTTGTTCGGTTGTATATAAGGTCACTATGGGTCAGAACTGACTCAGTGGCACCTAGCAACTACAACAACAAAGGGACTCCATGTATAATGTTGTCATTGTTAAGTGCCATCGAGTCCTTTCCAACTCATAGCAACTCTGTATAGGGTTTCCAAGGAGCGGCTGATGGGTTTGAACCGCCGACCTTGCAGTTCAAAATGACCTTGAAGTCCAGCACATTAACCCACATTGCCATAGCAGTCTTGGTTATCGGACTATACGAGATCTCTTCACAGCGCCCACTAAAGTACACTAAAAGGCTGAAATAGAAAGCTCATCCTACCAAGTTTAGTTTGTGTTATTCCAGTCTGTCTATGTGCTTATTAATTTGTTTACAAGTGATGGCTTTTC